AAATCCTCCCTTGGCTGGGTGCCCGGGGTGGTCCTAGCTTACTGTCCACGTGGGCCAGAGGGAGGAAGAGCAAGGGGACAGCTAGAGTCAGGGCTGGCCACAGGGTGGGGGTTGGAGGAACTGTGCTGCCTGAAGAGGAACTAAAGGTAGAGATTCTAGGGAAATGGGAGTAAAAAGATCTGTAAGCAGCCCGTACAGAAGGTTACCCATTTTGCAGAGAGCTGAGTTGCCCAACTAATGTTGGCCATGAATGTGGGGTTGGGGTCAGGGACTGTGTACAAATGTGTGGTGTTGGGGTTAGGGACAATGCACAAACACACTGATAAAATGCTTCGTAAGCATCCCAGTGTCTTTGGCCCCAAACGTGTGAAGTTGTATGACTGAATATAGTAACCACGAGCGTGCACATCACCACAGACAGGTATCTTTGGGCACAGAGGCAATGGGCCTGCTTCCTCTCCAGCCCCTTTCCTAGTTTCGCCCCAGCTCTCAAATGCCCCAGCCATGCAGAAACACTCACTCTCTCCTGATCACAGTGTGTCCTCCCTGGATGCAGGCTTTAAAATGTTGTTTTCTGTTCTTGTAGCAGCCTCCTTCCCTCTCTTTCTTCTCCCCACTTCCCCAAACCAACTTGTCCTTCCCTCAGTGCAGCTCAAAGTCACCTCCTTCGAGAAGCTTTCCCATATCCTGCAGCACTCATGTCCTAGGCTGAAGTAGATGCCCCTCATTCCAGCCCCAGGGCTCCTGGGCTTCCCTCCAGGGCACCCACTGCCACTAGGCATCATAATCCTATGTGTCTGCCCACTTCCCTCTCCCACACAGTGGCAAACTCCTTGAGGGCAGAGACCATCTCGTTCATCTAGCATATCTCCAAACACACAGTAGGTGATTAATAATTCACTTAGTCAGTAGCCGTTAACTGAATACTCAACAGACATCAGGCAAGGGGCATATGACAAGGGTCAGTGCAGATAGTGCCTGCCTTCCTGGGTCTCCCCTTTATGGGAGGAGACAAGCAAATCAACACAATCTGAAAGCTGCTTAGATGTGGGAGATGCAGGGCCTTACAGGTGAACTGAATAGGGATGGGAGTGTGGGCAATGTCAGGGAAGGTGTCAGAGAAGAAGAAACGTCCAAGGTGAGGCTGAATGACTAGATGAGTACATAAATGCAACTGATAGAATTGGAGTCCAAGGTCTGGTTCAGTCCAGCATCCACACTGCATCAGGGACAAATCCCTGAAATAATTACCCAAGGAGCCTCATTCTCTCGAGGAAAGAAAAGATGGGTTTCCAAGTCCAAGACAGGGCTGAGCCAGGCAGTGAAAGTTTGGGAATGGGCACACTGTGGGGCAGGGAGCCAGGCATATCCTTACATGGGGTTATATTCCTGTCTGTGCCAGTAAGTGGATGTGTGGACTTGGGCCTGTCACTAGCTCTCTCTGGGCCTTGGGTTTCTTAATTACAAAAATAGCAAGGGGGTGGATTCTGAGCAATAATCTTAATGAGAACATGACCCCATCGCAGGGGGGATTTACTGTGTAGTGATGACTAGGCACTCAAGGTGCGGAGAGAAACTAAACAGAAGGAAATGTGGTCAGAACTTGAACTCTGCCTGATTCCAAAATCTCTGTTTGTTCCTTTTTTCCATGAGGACATATAACCATTTTGCAATGTGTCTGCGAACTTCATAAAGAAGACTCCTGAGCTGAAATGTGAAGATAGGCAGGATTTTAATTGGTGGAGAAGAGCACAAAGGAAGCTGGGTAGAGCAGGAACAAAGGTGGGGAGGGAAGAATGAGGCTGGCATGAAGAGGAGCATTCCTCATGATGGTGGTGGCAGGGAGTTCGGCTTGGCCTGGCTGGAGCAGAGGAGTCACGTTGGGGAATGGTAGGAGATGCAGATGCCTCTGTCCTGCAGGATTTGGTAGGGGTGGGAAGTGGTGGGAAGAATCAGGGCTCTGAGGTCCCAGCCCAAACCCTACCACTCAGGGTGAGGCTGACATGGCAGGTGGAGGAACTCCAGCCTCAGCAAGTAAAAGGGCATAGTAAGAGTTGGGACTGCCAAGAGAAGCATCAGGGGCATGGGCTCTGGGCTCCCAGGCTCTGGAAGATCATGGAAGTGAGGTGCCAGGCAGGGTCCTTAGGGAACACAGACCCAAGACCCATTTATCGGGACTGGGTAAAATCAAAGACCCAGTTACTGAAGTCAGTGAATATGGATAAATAATCTAGTCAGTTTATTTTGTTGAGCACATATACCAGGCACCATTCTGGGCACTGGGGATACATTGGTGAATGGTTCATATAGAATCTTGGCCCTTGGGGAGCTTACATTCTGTCGGAAGAGACAGATACACAGGCATATTATAAAGTAAAATACCAACTGCTATGAATCCAATTAAAGTGGCGTAAAAAAATAAAGCAATGGAGGTAGAACAATAGTTGCATTATTTTGTATCAACTCATCGTATACCTCAGAAGGTATCTCCAAGGAGGTGGCAGTTGGACAAAAACCTGAATTAAGTAAAGAAGCAAGGGGTTAGGGGAAAAGCATTCCAGGTGGAGGGAAAAACAGGTACAAAGGCCCTGAGGCAGGAATGTGCTTGATACATGACTGCAGGGTGGCCTTTGTGGCTCCAGTGTAAGAAAATAGAAGGGGAAAATGGGGAAGAAATGAGTTTGGAAAAGCAGCTAGGGGTCAAATCACATAGGCCTGTAAACCTTATTGAGCAGTTTGGTTTCAATAATAGCAATGGTTAACCTACACAGAGCATGCAGTGGTGCTCAGTACAGTCAGGTAATCAGTATACATTTACTAGTATTTTTAAAGTGCCTGCTTGGGGGAGTTGGTATGATTATCTCCATTCAACAGATGAAGAAACTGAGACTCAGAGAGGTGTGGTGGTTTAAAAGAAGAAGGCCATAGAATGAGTGATGGGGCCAGAATGTTAGGGTGTCCCTATGTTCCATTTTGCCCTAAATGGTCCACTTAAGACTGCTGCTCCAAAGTAATTTTAGCCCATTTATGCCCAGTGTTCCATTATTGGAATGCTAAGCATGTGGGAATTATTTATATCCTACTGCTCCAGGTCATTGCCAAAATCCAATTGCAAAACTTCAAAAAATTGCAACCTCAGGCATAAATGGGTTAACAGAACCCCTTTTTACTCTCAAATATATCTTCTACCTCCAAAATTCATATGCTGAAGTTCCAACCCCAAGTAACTCAGAATGCAACCATCTTTGGAGGTAAGGTCTTTAAAAGAGGTGAGTAAGTTAAAATGAAACCATTTTCATGGGGCCTGAATCCAATATGACTAGTGTCCTTATAACAAGAGGAAGATAAACCATGATTCATGAACACAGAAAAATGACCATATGTGAAAACACAGCAAGAAGGTGTCCATCTTCTAGCCGAGGAAAGAGTCCTAAGGGGAAACCAACCCTGCCAGCACTATGATCTTGGACTCCAGCCTCCAGAATGGTGAGAAAAAAAAACTTCTGTCGTTTAAGCTACTCAGTCTGTAGTATTTTGTTACAGCACCATGAGCAAACTGATACAGTTGCCTTGCCTTCTAGGACTGGAACCCAGGTCTCTGCTTGGCAAAACCATGTGCTGGCCATCGTGCCACGCTGCCCTTCACTGCTGACATTCTCCTGCCCTTCACTGCTGACATTCGCTATTGGTCCTGGAATCTGAGCTGGGAGCTCAGCCTACAGGGGAAGGCAAAGCAGCCCAGCTGCATGGTGAAGGCTGGACAATTGCTACAATAGCCATGTGTATGCATAACTGTGTACTAAATGGGGTGAAAGTCCAACAGCATAGCATATAGGTGTGAATCTGGGTACTGGGGAAGGGGAACAAGAGGGTGAGCTGCTCAGAACAGTACTGCAGAAAGCACACTACCTTCTCATCAGAGGTGCCTGTGCTCTCAGGGCCCCTGTGCTGGCCTCCTTCACACACTGCCCTCCCCGTGTTGAATGGCCTATTTATGCCTGGTACCCCACTGCCCATAAACATGTCCACCCAGAAATGATAGCTTTGTCACATATGAAATCCTGGGCCCTCGCATATCACAGTGAAAATGGCTAAATGGGTTACGTACCTGAGCTTTGGAATCACATAGATGTGGTTTTGAGTTGTGATTCTGCTACTTTCTAGCTCTATGACCCTAGGCAAGAAACTTACCTTCACTGAGCCTCAGTTTTCTCATCTGGAAAATGGTAATAATAACAGTATCTACTTAACAGGGTTGTAGTGAGGACTCAGATAATGCATGCAAAATGCCTGGCACAGTGACTGGCACATAAAAAGCACATACTCATTAAGATTAGCCATTAATATTTCTAGGTTCTCTATATAGATTGTGAAAGCTCTTGAACTTCTGCCATCTGGGCCTTATCTGTCTTGTTCAACCTATGCATTCCAGTACAGAAGCATTCCATAATGCTTCACACACAATTAGAGCTCAATAAAAATTTCACAGGATTTCATAAAATGACTGAATTAACAGGCCTCCATTTTTGCAGCTGTAAAATGAGAGGGCTAGCTTAGGAAATCTCGGAACCCCCTTGAGCTGAGACAGAGTAGGATTCCAGGGTGATCCCAGGAACGTGTCTTCATGATGCTCCACATTGGCTCGTCTGATTGTCTCCTGATGGTAGGCATTCTGAAAAACAGAGGCATGCTGAAGGACAGATGTCACCTGGCCCATCATGAGGGCAAGTCAGGCATGAGAGGAAGTGGGTGTCAGTTTATATATGGGTCCTTGATAAGCATCCATGCAGGGCACTGGGGCCTGGGACAGAACCCTGCTTGCTGCCTGATTCCTTGGCAGGAGGACAGGGCTGTTCCAGGCATCACCTGGGAACTGGTGACTGAGATAACCTCCAACCATTGCCAATCCTCTGTCCAGAAAGACACAAATAGAATGGAAACAGCAGAGACACTACCACCTTAAGTTGATAAGGTGCTCATCTGGGATGGAAGAGTACACACATGCCAGGTCCTTTCTCCAGCCTGGGCTCCAGTTGGGGTGGCTCCTCTGACTTCCCCTTATCTAGGCTCCAGTGGCATTACTGGTTGGGAATCCATAACTAGGACTCATAGGTAAGGCTGAGGGCAGTCTGCTGGGGTAGTAGGAAAGGCAGAGGGAATGTACAGAAACCCTTTCCAGGTACATGACATGCAGGATTGGAATAGCTGAAACAACTGGCTGTCTACCTTGTGCAAACTGCCTTCTCTCTGAGCCATAGGATTTACACTGCTGAGAATGACAGGTCCATGGAGCACTGAGGTTGGAGTCATATTTTATTCCTCAGGTGGGCTATCGGCTGCCCTTCACTTCCCTGAGGCAAGGAGGAGGAAAATCTGGCATTTGGAGAGTCAGATGATCATCAGGCCCATTGACTTGGCAGACGGCTTCGATCCAGGAAGGGTAGCTCCATATCAGAGGTACAGGAAGAACCTGGGGCTGAAATTGTATTCTCTAAAGATAGCAGGCTGCTCCCTCACCCTTTCCAACCACAGGCCTCAGTCTTCTCCATAAGATGGGCAAAGTGCATGATGCCAAATCACACCACAATTGCAGGCAATTAGAAGCTTGGTGTCTGCCTTCCCTTCTAGACAGTAAGTTCCATGAGGACAAGAGCTAGTTTTGTTTTGCTCACTGTTGTACCTACAATGCCTGTGATGTTGGAGATACGCACCGTACTATTGTGAAAGGGAGGGACAGAGACAGAGAGGAAGGGAGGGAGGAAGGAGGAGAAACAATCTTGAAGGAAGGTCTATTTTCCTATCACGTGAGAGCTATGGGTGGGGTGAGATGGGGGTGCAGAGAGAAGAATTCCATGTCTGAGTCCCTGCTCACCCTGACCAGAACACCGTGCTGTGTCCACAGACAGCTGGGTGAGGGGTGGCATTGCTGCCCCTCAGACCCCAGCGTCAGCTGGGAACATTTGAGGAGAAAGGAAATTTGATCCACAATACAGAGTGAGATGTGTCTTGGGCTCGGTAAAGCACCTCATCTCTTCCCTCTGGCCATGCTCAGGCTCCATGTCCCTTCTGATAGGGTGCTGGGCAGGGATGGAGGGCCCTCCCTGCTTCCTTCCTCCTCTTCCTAAAGCCCTCCCCTGCCTCAGGAGGTGGATCTTTCCCCTTTCTCACCCACACAGAACCTGATTGCTAGCTTGCTTCTCAGTGGGCTGGTGAGTAAGCCCTTGGGCGACATTAATTGCCATCAGGCATTAGGGGCCTAATGAGAATCATCTTCTTTGACGACTCCAGCACCTTTTATCCCCAGGGCCTCCAAAAGCTGGCCAGCTCTCCCCAGGCTGCACCTCCCCCCAACTCCAGACAGATGTGGGGGTGGGGGAAGGGCCAGAGCAGCCCTCCACAGGCCCCAGTACTAACGGAGGCAGCAACAGCCAGCAGCCAGGGAGGAGGAAGGCTTCCAGGAAAAATGCAAACACATTTTCCAAAAACAAAATGTCACTGTCCTGGATGAAAGGAAACTCTCAGGGTCAAGAGGGCTAGCATGGAGTCAGGCAGATGGAGGGTAGGGTTTGAGCACCCCAGCTGGCTTTGCTCTGATCTGGCCCCACACTCTCACTCCAGTTGAGTGCAGAGGTATAAAAGGGTGACCCTCAAGATCCATATCCTCCCCAGTAGGGATATGCCCATGGGCTTGAAGACCCTGTCCCTCCAGAGTAGGGTGGAATTGCAATGCACCCTCTGGGGATTGGGGCTGATACCCAATGAAGCTATAAAATCACTGCCATGGATCCGATGCCTGGTTGACAGATGAGGGGTGAAGGTTGACTTGTCGGGTCTGATCTAGGTTGCACTCTAATGGAAAGGGCCTGATAGGGGAACAAATATCACTCCAGCCACCCCTCCCCCTAGTCAGCAGGTGCCTGGGTGAGTATGCAAGAGGGGCAGTTCCCCACCCCCACGGCATGCCTCTTTAAAGGCTTGCTAAACAACCTGTAGGAAAGCACTGTCCCCTCCTCTTCTCCCTCTTCCTTCCCCAGCAGCGGAATAAATAGGTCTCCCACAGCTGCGCCCCGGACCCATCCCGCACGAAGCTGTGTCCCAGAGCCCCCGCGGCCCGAGAGGAGCTGGGCACAGCAGCGAGGCTGATTTCCAGCCTGTGCCCAGCGGACTCTGGGGATGGGTGTAGGGTGCCCCCTACCCGCGCCTCTGGCAGAGCGGCTGCAAAACACCTCCGGCGCCCGGTGGGGAGCGTGCATCCTTTGAAAAGGGACATCAGTGACTGCGGTGGCGTCTACCCTGGAGAAACGCAGCTGCCGCAGCTGGCCGGCCCCATTCGGGTCCCAGCGCTAGCCGGCGTTGGGAAGGAAAAATCAAACATAAAATAGGGGCGAGAGGAATCGCGAGGTCGGCCCTTGGCCCGAGTCTCATTAAGGAGCCGCGCGCGCCCCCAGGCTGGGAATGCGGAATGGACACGTGGACAGAGGAGGGGGAGCTAGGAGTGGGGGGAGTCTCCGTGGCGCGCAAGCCGTGGGCCGCGCGCTTTGGGTCCACGTGACCACCGGGAATCTGGGAGGGGTGGGAGCGAGCGCGCCAAGCTCGGGGCCCGCTTCTGCCCGGGTGGGCGCTGAATCCCGGTCGGAGGAGGAGGGCGGGCGAGCGCGAGTGTGTTTGTCCCTCTCGAGTCATTTACGGCGGAGCAGCCGGCGCGAGCGCCGAGGAGGCGGCGACAGCGGCGGTTGCTGCTTCGTGCAACTGTGGCTCCCCCCACCTCCTCTTCCTTTTTGCTCCTCGATTCTTTTTCTCCCCCCACACACGTCCATGGGGAGCCGGCTCCCTTGCCGGCACCTCCTCTCCTCGCGGCCCCGTAGGCACCAGCTGCCGCTTCCCTGGCCGCAGGCTGCGCGGGTGCCGGCTGCCCTGGCCCCTGGCGCCGCGCCCGCCTCTCACCGCCCGCAGCCCGGACTGGCGCGGCGATCCGCTCGCCCAAACTGACCCGAGAGAGCGGGAGCCGATGCCCGGCAGCACCGAGACGACGGGCGAGCGGGCGTCCGGGGGCAGGGCGAGGGCGTCAGGGAGAAGGAGGCGTCGGAGACTCTGAACCCCAGAAAAGTTCAAGGTTTGTGCAGGTTCCCCCAGGCAAGGCGAGGAGCGAGGCAGGGCAGCGCGCCCCTCTGCTGAGACAGCGAGACCTGAGCGGAGAGCGAGGTGGCCCGAAGCTGCCGCGAACTGCCGGAGCCCCTCTGCATCTTACAGCGTTTATGGTCATCAAGCTGGAGTCGACGCCCTGGGCGGGAAGGGCTCGGGGCAGGGCCATTAGCCGGCTTTCTCGCTCCTTCGCTTCTCCAAGCTCCATCTACATGGGGCAGCCCGTTCTGGCCGCGCCACCCTTGCCCCAACCGCCGAGCGGCTGTCTGGGCAGGAGGCGCTGACCTGGCCTGTGTGGAACCCGGGCCCTGATCCAGACTGGAGAAAGCGCGCTGGAGCCGAGGAGCGAGGCTCGCAGAGGGGACAAACATCTGGCCGCCCGCCTCGGGCATCCGGTCTGGGCGTCGCCTAGGGTGGTGGCGACCCGCGTCGCCAGTCTCAGCACCGCACGGAAACTTTTCCTTCTCCAGATGGATTAAAGTTCCCTGGATTTTCTCTTTCTTTGAGAAAGACAGCATTCATTTGCACCTGACCTGGGATTTTTACGCTGGGCTGCTGCAGGGGCTTGGAGGAAGACAGCGGCTCTATCCATGTGGGGTTACTATCGAAACCGAGGAAACTGGGGCTTGCGTTGGAAGTCTGCACCCTCGAGTGAGTTCGGATTCGAGCTGGGCCGTGGGGCCGGGAGATTCAGCACTGGGCTCTAGGTAGCCTCCGGGACGCCCGCGGCCACCGGGCTCGGGACTGCACGTGCGGCTCCCCCCTCGCCTCGCAGATCCTGCAGGGGGCACCAGCTGGGGGAGGTGGAGGCTCCTCCCGCCCGGAGCTGCGCCCCCACCGGCTCCGAGGGTGTAGCCGCCAGGGCCTGGGACGCCCCCTCCCCGCAAAGTGTCTCCAAATTGCACTCTCTGGCCCCGGAGCTGCATCTGAGACAGCCGGGCGCCACGGCCGCCCTGAGTTGGATGTGACCAAGCCCAGCCTGGGGCCAAGTCGTCGTCGACTGTTGCCCTCTCGGACCCCTCCCGCCCCCGCCTGGGCCATGGCCCCGGGGATGTCGGGCCGCGGCGGCGCCGCCCTGCTCTGCCTCTCAGCGCTGCTCGCCCACGGTAAGTGTCGCGGCGCGGACTCGGGGTGAGGATGCGGCAGGCGCCACCGGAGGGGGCACGGGGAAGACTGGGGAGAAGAGCACCCACACCGCCTGGACTCGCAGCCGCCACTCCGGGTTTGGCGTCTCGGGCTGCAGCTCGAGTTACCACCAGCCCCCGAGTCCTCCGGCGAGCTCAGCTGAGGGGACCGAGCCCGGCACCAGGAAAGGGTGGGGGGAGGGCGTCGCTCCAGTCCTCTCCGGGTTATAAAGAAGGGTTCGAACCCGAGGATCTGGGGGCGTGTCCGCCCACGGAAATCTAGAGGGATCCGAGAGATCCTCCCGATCGCGTCCCGGCCGCCCCCCGCCCCAGTCTCCCCCTGCGGCCAGCCAGCCTGGGGGCTGTTGGGATCCGCAGATACCGCGTCTTTCCCCGCCCCGGGCGCGCAGGCCGGTGCGGGGCCGCGCCGCCCGGCGCCTCGCTTCCTGCCGCGGTCCTCGGGAAGGGAAGTGGACTGACTCTGGGCCGGGCAGCCGCCGCGGCTCGCACGCCCACGGTCCTGTGAGCTGCATCTAAATGGCCGGCTTAGGCGAGCCCGGAGGGCGGGGGTCTGGGCACCGGTACAGGCCGGGGCCGCGGGCGGCGCGCGAAGGGAGCGGGCTCCGCGCTCTCGCATTCTGCAATCTGTTGCGTCTGCTCCCCAGGCTCACCCCGGGCTCCGCGGTAAAGCGGGTGGGAGAAGGAGGGACAGGGGTTGGTGCGCTTTGGCGGTGGGATAGCGGGCATACGGGTGGCGGGCAGTGGGGCTTTGAACAGCCCCCAAGAGTGGGAACTCAGACCAGACGGAAGGAGGCTGCAGCGGGCCTTCCGCAAGCTGGAAACGCTCCAGGAGGCGAGGGGCGCAGACCGAGGTGGGAGGGAGACAGCTCCGAGGGGAGAATGGAGAAGCGGGGCCCTCTACTCCCTCCTAACGTGAAACCAGCAGACCTGGGATACATTTTTCTCAACCAGCAAGGCGTGGCGGGGTTGGGGGGCGAGGGTGTTTCGGTGCTCCACGCTGAGAGTTGAGCCTCAGGCAGGATAAGGGCGCTTAGATGGAGGGGGCAGTGGGCTGTCTGCATTGGTGGAGCGCCCTCCATGTGCCGGGCTCAGCTCTTGCCCAGATCTGCCCAGTCCCTAAGAGCCTGCCCAAGCTCGCCAGGAGTGTGCCCAAGATCTCTAACCAGCGGCCTTTTTCACCCTGACCAAAGCGCATTCTCAAGGTTGAAAGAATAAGAAAAGGAAAGGGCTCTTGGAATTGTAGGGTCCTGGGGCTAGGAGGGGGGAGGGGAGCAGGAGGACCTCCCTCTATGGGTGGCTTGGTTATTCCCGGCTGAGGTGACTCCAGGGGGGTTGTTGTGCGTTCAGTTAACCAGAGACGGCTAACCTCAGTTCTTTATGGGAGGAACGGGCAGAGCAGCGTGCCAGCAGAGGGACGAGGGTGAGATGAGGGGAAGTGGGAGCATAGCGGGGAACCGGAAATCTCTAGGCTCTGTGTGTAACGCTGAGAATGGGATTGGGGGAGAGGGAGGTGGGCTGCCTGTCTGCGCGCTGGAGCTGCGTGGACTGCACTTGTGACCTAGCACTGGCCGGCAGGGAGTTTCCCTGCCCAGTAGGAGGAAGCCCAGAAACCCAGGCCTGAGTCTAGGTGGCTTCTTCCCCTCTTCTTACATCTTGCTGTCAGAATTCCCTTCCCAAAGCCCAACCACGGCCTCACCTCAAACGCTGTTGATGGGCAGCTCAAACTCTGTCGTTAGGGCCCCTCTGCCCACCTTCCTGATCCCTGAGACTGGAATTAAAGATCCCTTTCCCTTCCTCAGCTGCCAGAATCCTGCCTGTTCCTAAGACGCAGTTCCAGCTGGGCCTTAGCGTCCTGGCTGCCTTCCCTTGGTCTTGGCCTTGGCCTCCTTTTTTCCTTAGGCACCAGTGCCCTCTCTGTGCCCCAGTAGCCCTGGATTGGTGGAGGCAGAGCCATGGGCTTATTCCCTGTCTCTCCACACAGCCAGTGCCTAACACAGCGACAGCACACATAAGGACAGAGGGCTTGGCTGCCTGAGCAGAAAGAAGGTATTTGAGGAGGTAGGGTCAGAATCGCCCCACTGAGCAGACGTTTCCCCTCCTGACTATATGGCTCCATTTCCAAGCTCCTTCCCTGAGTCCTGAACTCTCTTCTCCATCCCATGTCTCAGTCTCCCCTGCCTCAGAGAAGGGTGCCAGCAGATACTTAAAACTTCGGAGATCCCCCAGATGGGTAAGGCCAGTATGATAAAAATCCCCCCACAATAAAACCCCCTCTCCTCTGGACCGCCCTCCTCCTCCAGGGCTGCCTGATGCCCACCTAGCCACCCTTCCCTCTGTTAAGAATAGGATACAGGGACTTAGTCTCCCTTTGAGCTGGCTCTTGATTGGGGTTCCTGGGCTTTTCTAAAATACTGGGGGATAGAGGGACAGTTGCAGTTTTCTGTGCCTGGCAGGCAACTGAGATCACAGGGTTCTGACCACACGGCCAGACTGAGAGCCAAGTAGCCTGGGTTTCACTCTGACTCTGGTGCCACCGGGCAGGGTGACCTTGGGCTGCCTCCCTCACATTCCCCATTTCCACAGGCAGTATGGTCTCTGGTCCATCTCTCCCCTTCCCAGTTTCTGCCAGGACTCCTGGACAGAGACCATGTGTGAATGGAGCCCCACTACCTTTTCAGGGCCCAGTTCAGCCCATGAGATAGGCAGAGTGGTGTGTCTGGGCACCTCTACACTGTTCCCAGTCTCCAGGCTTCTTCCAGGGAACATCTGTGAAGACCACTTTCTTGTATCTAATCTTTGGGGAGACTCCCAGCCCCATCGTTAGTTCAAATAGGAGTTTGGAGGTCAGCGTGGTGGATAAATCTGTTAGAGAGTTGATTATGTCAGCTCCCTACTCAGGAACCATTACTGGCTCCCCACGGCCTCTAGGATCAAGGGTACACTCATTGCCCTGGCCTCCAAAACCCTTCATGATCTTGTCCCAATCCACATCTTCACTTCCGTGATACTGGCCTCTCGCCATCCTCTATGTGCCCCGTGAGGTATTGCTTTTTCTCACTTTCCTGCCTTTCTGCTTTTGCACTCACCAGCCCCTCCATCTGGATTACTCTGCCTCCAGAAATTCTTACTTAACCTTCAAAGCTGAGTTCAAATGTCACCTCCTCTAGGGAGCCTCCCTAGATTACCCCCTAGCTTCTCACCAGCAGTCCCCATGCCCCGATAGAAATAAATGAACTTTTTCCATAACTTCTTTGGTACTTCATGCGACTTTTCTAGCACTTCTTCCTCATAGGCTGCTGTGTGAGGGGTATACATGGGCATGCTTACCTGTGCAATCCTCCTGATCCCCATGTTCTTGCATTTAGGGCAGGACCACGTCTTCCACGTGTTTGCATGGCTCTCCAGTGTTTGACACATAGCAGGTGCCCAGAAGAAATGGATGGGGCAGGAGAACAACTCTGCATTGAGGGACCCTCCCAGCATGAGTTGAAAAGGGAGCTCTGGGGTACAGGGTAGAAGAGGGGCAGGGGAGGAGATAGGCAGAGATACCACAAAGAGAGCAAAAGGATGGAGCAGGCCCATGCCATGCCCCTTGAGTGGGCACATACAAGATCCAAGTGTCTCAGGTGACATGCTATGACATGGTCTCACAGGATACAAATGTAGTGTCCAGGGTCATTCTGAATACATTATCTCAAAACGTGTCCTCACCTCCATGATTCCCAGACCAGCAACCTTGAGTTTCTCCTGTGGGTTGTGTCCACACACCCCACCCCATCCCCGATCGCCCAAGCCCTGAGCCCTTTTGGAGATGCAGGAGGAACACAGCAGGACAGGGTAAGCATCAGCCCTTGGGAGACCCCCTTACTGCCGGGCGTGAGGGATGATGCTTGTCTCCCCTCTCCCACACCCATCTTTCTTCTGGCCACACACAGCCATATTCACAACACAGCCTTGTTAATGTTTAAGACCAGTAGGTGGGGATGTGTTATAAACTTGGTGGCAGAAAATGAGCTTTATTGGAATCCATTCTGAGAATGGCTGGTGCTTCGCTGTGGGGGATAAAGCCACTGTGGAATACCAGAGCTGAACTTGGGTGTCTCCTAGGCCCTTGCCAGGGGCCTGTCTGGAACTGATAGACCCTGGACCTGAGATTGGTAGTGAGTGCTGGCGATGCTGCAGAAACTGAAACCCTGAGAGGCACCAACTCTCACCACTGGGGTCTGGACCACCTACCTGGGGCAGGGGAGTATGCATTGGGGGCAGTCTCACCTTGTTGCCCTGCACATAATGATGTCCACAACACTGAAAGAGGAACCGCCAAATTCAGCCTCATGTGAATGAGGAAATGGACACACAGAGAAGGGACTGACCAAGGTCATTTTGCAAGTTTGTTCTGGGATCAGAACAAGCACCAGAGCCCAAATGGGGCTCCTGGCTTGGCTGTCTGCCCCAGACTTCTCAACAGATTCCACCACCTCTACTATCCCCTCTCTCTACAGCTTCTTCCAGTGGTGGGCTTCTAGCCTGAAGCCGGCTTCTGGTTACAAGCAGTCATGATAATCAATCACTAGTAGCATTCATTAATAAACCTTACCAAGTGCTATGAAAGAAATGTGAGGGGTTCCACACCTGATCCCCAACTCTTTCGGTAGCTCAAAGTCCAACTGGGGGGAATGAGACAAAGATCCAAAGTCTTGAAATTCAAAGCGATTTGAAATCACACAGTCCTCAGGATATAGGATATCTGGGTTCAAATCCTGACTTTGTCATCAGTTTGCTGTGTAGCCACAGGAATTTCACCTACTTCTCTGGGTCTTGTTTTCCTGCTCTCCCAAATGAGAGGAGGCAGTGCCCTCCAAGCCCCCTTCCAACTCTTTTGTTCTGTGATGGAGAAGCCCCTTCTTAACTCCCTCATCTTTCTCTGCCCGAGCCCACACCTCTCTCCCCTGATTCCTGCA